GTGAAAGGCGCTCAATAAATGGAATCTTGTTGTTGTTGTTGTTCTCTTTTTGAGTGGTGTCATGCTTTTTGTAACATCCACCTGAACTGGTAGATTCAGTTTCTTGTCTCATTCAAAGGGCAGCATCTCCGACAATGTTGCGTGTGTTCACAGCACTGAGTCCTGTAGCTCAGTGGTTAGTGCACTCGCTTTGCAAGCGAGAGACCTGCGTTCAATTCCAGGCAGGGCGAAACCTTGGGCAAGTTTCCTTACTCCACACGCCTAATAATAATCCCTCCAAAACCAAAAAAACAATAATAAATTGGTCATTTTCAATCTACGATTGTTTGTGGGACATTGCTGTGCGCAATTGGCTGCCGCGTTCGCCTACAAATATACAGTCGATTCACTTTACAGTGTGTTCTGTGAAGCGCTTTGGGATGTCCTCCCGACGTGAAAAGCGCTATATCAAATGGAAGGATTATTATTATGAAAGTATCTACCCAGATTGTGAGCTCAAAGTCCCAACATAGAACTTGATTCCACCACTTTCTGACTCAGAGGCAAGCGTTACCAACTGTGCCAGGTTGAACACACAACACAGAATCACTCCGTATCAATCGAGCTGGAGAGTGACAGTCAGTGTACTAGCTTTAGGACTCAAAAGACAAAGACTTTAAGTGTTGAGAAAGAATGGCTAAGATGTTGCCTTCTCTGTGGAAACAGAAAACTTGCTTCAAACATTCCAGCGCTTCTTGGATCCAATTCGAAATAAATATGCAACAGTGTAAAAATATTTTGACAAACATTCAGAATTAAATTTGTTTTATACTTCAATCCCACAAAGGACAAAGCAACTATGAAGAAATCTACAGATGCAATTTCCTATGGGAATACTGAGAGCGAGTTGAGGCAAGTAAAAGCAAAAGTCTGCACTGCTGAATGAGTTTGTAATTGTCAATAATATGGAATATGCAAACAAGTGAACTCAATTCAGTTGCCTCTATTTGTGACAATTCATTCAGATCCAGCATCAATTACTAATAAATGTAGCATGATTTATNAAAAAAAATGGTTTATTAGTTTCAACATCATTTTGTATTTCTGACTACTGTAGTAAGAGCGAATTCTTCTGCAATTGCCCATTCAGATTATCTTACTGCCCTTCAATATCAATGTCATCAGTGTGGCCCCAAGTCCCAAACTTAAACCAGAACTACCCAAACCAGCAAGAAGACAAATTTTTCTCCTCCTTTCGACGTCTTACACCATAAACAGCTTTGTATGTCTGGCAGAGGATACAACAGGTTATCCAAGATCAGAATTCAACTAGCAAACTGCCTGATCTTTGCTCTTACAGTTCAGGGGTTCTGAATGTTCACTGGATTACAACCCTGCAATCTACCAATACCTCTTCAGTATCCAAAAGCATCAGAAAACCTACTCAAAAAACTAATCTCCAAACCAATTCAAAAAGTTCAACCATTCATTGTACACCAATAATCTATGCTTACCATACAAACAATGATCCAATCATAAAACGTTAAAGCACNAAAAATATTCAGCCTCACAAACAAATTTTTTCCAAGTGAACTACCTAAATCAAATCTCACTCTCCTCCTCACTCTCCTTTAATAGTCCTCTTTTTCAAGTGTCTGATTTTGAATCTTCATACTCTGCTTCAACAAAAGTTTGTGGTAGAGAATTCCACACTCCCTGCACCCTCTGTCTAATCATTTAAACCAGCTGGTCTTCAAATGATAATTATGCTTTTATTTGGCCTTCTCAAACTGAACCATAGTTTTAGAATACACTGATAGATACATTATGAATCCCAGATTTTCTTTGCACAGAAGCTGAAAAAATTTTTTTTGCACAAATTGCGAAAATGTAGCAAGATTACTTTTTTTTAATGGCAAAAAATATTTTGACTTTAATGAATGAAAAAACAATGCATCTTTCCGACTACAACAACTTGCATTTATATATCACCCTTCACACGGGGTAATATCTTGCATCGCTTAAAGAACTACAAAAAGAACAGCGTTTAAAGTCTTCACAATTTTCCAGATGAGAATTCTATAGGAAACCACTTTGACATCTTTTGCAAGATAGAAAGCCAACGTGTTTGTTTTTCAAGCAATAAAGGTCATTCAGTACTCAATGGGTAATTAAATAGTAGGTGAAAGCCTTGAGCTGCATTTGAAATATCACTGCACCATTGCTTTACATAGTCTCCATAGTATAGACAAGTAAATAGCACTTCATACAAGAAAACTAGCCTTTTTTTAAAAATTTCATTGCAGCTTATGATTACACTGGAGCAGTAAAACATTCATCAATAACTTGACAGTAAGAACAAGATCCAAAACAATGCATCCTACTGCCATTTCCAATGGCTGGTTTCAGGCAACAACCTGCTAAATCATCTTAAGACACATCAATTTAGGATATAAGAGGCACATATATTCTAATGTAGGAGGTCAACATTTTTTTAAACAAATTGTCAGCAACCTAGCAAGCTGTTGAGAGAACACTCATGAAATGTGTGGTGGTGTAGAACTGTAGTACTACAGGCTGCATTTTGCCAGAGTCTGCATGGATGAGCATCACTGTTTAATGATGTTGAACGTTTTAGTCAGTTCCACAATCATGACACTGATGATACGCTTCGCTGACATACGCAGACGATCATTATTTACATGTCCTTCTCACTCTCAAAAAAGGAACAAGGTATTAAATAATGCTAGACATTTCCCATATTATGGAAGTCATTCCTTATCCAAAGACTTGTGTGAATTGCATTTTTCTCCAATTCTACTGTGACCAGAGAAATAATTCCTTGCATTCAGAAAATCGAACATTCTGCATCATTAGGTAACTGACAGTAATACCATAGCAGGTGATTGACTGTTCAATGCTTATATGATAGTTTTGTCTTACAGACAGTTATACTTTAAGATGCAGCAAAAAGAGAGTTTATTTCAGATTGTTCCCACATCTATATTTAAAGTAAAATCACAGTAAATAATAAGATCTACAACATTTACTGATAAACCGCTATTTTGTTTCTACATTTTCAATATTTGCTGCACCAGACATCAGGAGATTAGAGAGAAAAGTTTTGCATTGAAGCTTGGGCTACTTGCAATATACAAAATGGCACTGATTTGATGACAAAGTATTTTCAAAATAGAATGTATAGATATGTGGCCAGACATGAGATTGTTCTGTGTGTCTCTGTTTTCACACACACACACAATATTTTGTTGCTCAGGAATGTAATTATGAAAATACATGCATTAATGCCCATTTTAACACTTCAGACTCAGAGAGCTTTCTATAATTGAACAGACTGCCATTCCCATTGTTCTTGTTGGTGAAAGCATTTTGATGAATACTCAATAGATATTACCAGAGTTCAGAGGATGCAATGTGCAATCACACATTGCAAAAGTGTATGTGACTGACTGAACCTCTCGAATACTCTGATTTAGATATTATCATCTGATATTTGGATTTTCATTCAAAAATATATTGCAGTGAGAAGATTTAGAAAGGCAAACTGCATAAAATAAATTAACCTAAAAATATACTGCACTCTCTCTCCATTGTGTCCTGTTCAAACTGGTTAAAAAGGAGATATTTTACAAAGGAGATTGCTTTATTTTCATGCACAAGATCCCTGAAAGTTAGGAGCATAGGTTTAAATAACTGACAGCAGTGAGATAAACTAAATCCTTACAACATGAGAGCTTTATAAACTTGGACTTCAGAGATGTTGAGTTGGGGAGGATAAGAACATATATATTTTATATATATATATATATATAGGCACCTGTAATAAACACATGATCCAGATTGAATACTTTTCTTGATTATTATATTAAAGGGTAGTTGCCATGGAAATAGAATGCACTTTGGTTGATATACATTTGAAATATTATTCAGGGTCACCAATCGAGTTGGAATTGTTTACATTTCTTTTTCTTTTAGCGGTCTCATGGGGAATTGGAGCAGTATTTATTGGAAGCCTTAAGAGGAAGGAAAATGCGCATCAACAATCCTATTGTCACATTTCTGCAAATCAGACTGGGATCAGACTACAACACAGCCAAGACACTTGAATCTGACAAATTGGGTGAACTTTAAGACACATCAATGCGATAAGGCACAACACTAAATTTAAATATTTTACCATTAATATAACAATAATAATCCTTACATTTGATACAGCGCCTTATCATGTTTTCAAGATGTCTCAAAGCGCTTCACAAAATATACTGGAAAGTGAATTGATTGTATATTTTGTGGGTGAAACACGACAGCCAATTGCGCACAGCAGTGTCCAATAAACAGTCGTGGATTGAGTGATCACATTTTTAAAAAAAAGTTAAGGGATTATTACCCCCAGAAAAGCGATCCTCCAATCAACTAACAACTGGGTTCCTACTTACTGCTAAGTAAACAGAGGGTGTGGAGTAAGGAGACTTGCCTAACATTTCGCCCTGCCCGGGAATTGAACCCAGGTCCTCTCGCTTGCAAGGCAAGTGCTCTAACCAATACGCTACAGGACTCCACCAGAGTCCACAGTAGAGGCTTTTTCTGAGAGCAAAGAAAGACATCTCAATATACAAAAAGTGGCTCATTCCACAATGCAATAAATAGCTGTTATGTCACATACACTGAAAATAGTACCAATTTCTTAGAGGGCAGGGAACAGCAAACCAGAACAATGTTCAATGCAAGCAACAGAGGGTTATGAGGTGCACGAAGGGCACTATCTAAATGCAAGCTGTTTGCTGTCATTACCACTGTACATGGAGATGTCACAAGATACATGCTCCAAGAGCATTCCTGCCTAGATCTGAATCGTGAGTATGAAACATATAGAGTACAGAATAACAATAACTGTTGATAATTCAGAAGTCTCTGGATTTGCAGTTAGGTTGGTGCAGAGTTGTATCAGTGAATAGAACAGTTGCATAAGAACATAATATAATCATAATAATATAGCCTACCTCACTGGAGCAGCTCCAAGTTCAAGTGGAGACCCAAAATGGCAGCTCTTCATGAAAGGTAGCAGCAAGTGACTAAATTGACAGTATCACCTGGAAATAGGATAGAGAGGTACTTACTTAACATGAAATAGGAATCCAATCAGGGCAATGCAATAAATTTACCTTCAAGTTAAACAGAAAAATAAATTGTTTTGTATTTCTCACCTAATTTTGACAAGCATATTCTGTTTACTGTACTGTGCAGCTTTCCTTACACAAATTAGCAGTTATGCAGCTGGTTGTACATATGCTTTCTGTACTGTAGCAAAGTGGGTTTGAGGTTCGAGGAAACAAAAGCAGATGTCCAGAGAATTTAAAATCAGCCAAGAACTTACCAAATGCTATATGCAAGAATCATTATTTTTAATAACGAATTTGCGTACCAACGTGCAACTAAAATGCCTTCAACCCAATATTGTCAAACGTGATTGCTCCTATATGTGGGAGCTTACAAAATTTATGAAAGGTTTTGACAGGTTAAATGGGGAGAAGCAAAATGTGAGCTTTGGAAAATTGTCTTCACTCAAAAGAGTTGCTGGGATGCACACTGCCCTACCAAGTAAGGTGGTAGAAGCAGATTCCATTTTGGGTTCCTAGAGGAAATAAGACAGGTAGGTGAGAGACAGAGGCTTGAAGGAGTATGGGAAGGGCAGTGGGATTGAATGAACACCTCGCTCTGAGAGCTCGTGCAAATTCGATGGGTCGAATGACCTATTTCTGCACTGTAAATTTCTATAATTCTATAAATACATCAGCATTTGTTTCCTCGAATCCCAAACCCACTTTGCTACAGTACAGAAAGGCAATAATCTCTTCAAAAAAATAATAGGTCGCTCAATCCACAAATGTTTTTGGGACCTTGCTGTGAGTAATTGCTGCTGCATTTCGCCCATAAAATATACAGTGAATTCAGATTATAATATATTCTGTGCAGCTCTTTGAGACGTCTCAAAGACGTGATAAGGCGCCATATCAAATTCAAGGATTTTTTTTAATAATACTTTTTGAACCCTTCATCCGCCTCTTCCAGACAACTCCAACTTGACCTCCCAGCAGCGAAGGCCTAGGCTGCACTATCATGGAAGGAATGCACCTTCCTCACCCCGTCCACTCAGAATGTCTCCCCACCACTCCAGATACTTGGAAGCCTGCTGTCTGTTGTTGTCATGCTGCCCCACACAGCCCAGAGCACTGTTGTTGCAGTGAGTGCACGATTCTCACCCCATCATATGGATCAATCAGCTCCACCCAACAGCCCTGCCCACAGCACAGAACCATAACAATACTGGAGCAATGTACAATGTAACAGAGTACCCAGGGTGGCCTGCAAGTTGAATTTGCCCATTTTATGTGGCTTTTCTTGATGTATTGCACTCCAATAATCCTGCAAAAAAAATTATAATATGGTCATTCAATCCACAACTGTTTGTGGGACACTGCTGTACATAATTGGCTGCCGCGTTTCACCCATAAATATACAGACAATTCACTTTACAGTATAATCTGTGAAGCGCTTTGTGAGTGTTAAAGGCGTGTTAGGTGCTATAAAATGCAAGGATGATTATTATTATATACAACCCCATTGATACAAGACTAGTGTTCAGGGTTGGTTAATGTTATCCCTAGCTATAGTTTCCCGAAAGGTATCCAACTGTTAGTTCCTCGCCAGGCTTAAATATCCAGAGAAAGCAATACTGATTCAAGAGGATTGAGCTATTTGTTGACTTATGAATTTATCAGGGTGATGTTTTGTACAACATCAGAGACCACCTGTTCAATAAATAATCTTGTCAACCAGATTCAGTGACCACCTTCACGAGGAATCTAACAGTCTTGGCTGAAAGCCAGGAATAGCACAAAATCAGCTGTTGGCTGGTCAGTTACTGTACTTCTAGCCATTCTTGGCAAAATGGATAAATCTGTCAACGATGTATTAGTTGCCTGTTAAATAATAATAATCCTTACATTTGAGATAGCACCTTACCACATCAAAACATCAAGGTGCTTCAGAGATTTCATTAAAGTGTTGTGACCGTGTACTGCTTTTATAGATGAATACAACAGCCTATTTGCATGCAGCAATGTCCGATAAACAGCCAATGAAATGAATGACCGATATTATCTAGGGGATTCTTGAACAGGACACCAGGAAAAACTCCCTTCTCTTTTTAATAATTCTTTAATGTCCACCTGAACAGGCAGATTGGGCCATGATTTTATTGTCTTATCTGAATGATCGTACCCTCCGTTCCTCTGGCTCCGGTCTGCTCCACATCCCCCACCCCAACCGCCCTACCATCGGTGGCCGGGCCTTCAGCCTCTCAGCCCCCAGGCTCTGGAACTCTATCCCCCAGTGCCTTCGCCGCCTCCTCCCTTTCCTCCTTCAAGGCCGGTCTCAAGACCTTTCTCTCTGACCGAGCCTTCAGCTCCCCTCTCAACTCTACCCCCTCCTCGCTCCCTCCCTTCCCTCCCCTCAGCCTGACCATTTCCCCCCTGCTCGGGTCCTGACTTAACTGAACAGCGCCTTGGGACGTCCTCCTGACGTGAAAGGCGCTCAATAAATGGAATCTTGTTGTTGTTGTTGTTGATCGAATCTCCAACAAGGCAGCGCCCTCCCAAGCATTACATTGGAGTGTCAGCCTGTCCAACACTACAAACTCAAAGTCCCAACTTGAACCCATGACATTCTGACACAGAGGAGAGAGTGCTACCAACTGAGCCAGGCTGGCTCCCCCTAGTGGAAGAACTCACTTACCAGGGAATTGTTTGCAAATTTCATTGGCATAGGAAGAACGTAGATGATTCTTTGAATTAGGTGCTATCAACTGCCACAGTCTATTGTTCAAAATTATCCAACTCTGCAATAAGCCCATAATAAACACAACTGTTCATGCAGACATTTTTGTGGACGCTCGCCTTGGGACATCCTCCCAATGTGGCAGGCGCTATACTTAATGTAAGGATTATTATTATTATTGGATTTTATGCTAACGACTTATTTCTGAATGGTATCGGCGTACTCAGAAAGTATTCCTGCTGATGGTAGAAAATTGCTTTCTGTAGATTTAAATCTGAAATACCCACGTGGCACATTAACCTTTAGAATTAAACCAGTTTAACATAACAAACCTCAAATTAGTTACGTGACTGTTTTGCAAAATAACACGCAGTATTTCAGTGAATTGTTACAGAGATGATCAAAGACGCATACGGTTTACAAATTATGCTGACATCCACTTACTGACTGAATGACTGTTAGAAGGAAGTGGCACAGCACAGATATCATCTGTCAGCTCAAAATGTAAACAATGTATGTGCTCAAAGCACCTTAACTGAAGTTAGAAAGTATCAAATACCTTCCAAACTGTAAAAGCAGCTTAAATATCCATTTTCTTTTTGCTAAACTAACCTTGTGGTTATTAGAGCTTTTAGCAGAGACGCCACCATTGCTTGATTTGAAAATTCCTGCATTTGATGGTCTAGCACAGCCCCTTGTTGATGACTGTAGATACAACAACATGCATTTATATAGCCCCCACACACAGGGTAGCGTTCCAGAGCGCTTGACAGTGGCGGAGCATGACACCAAGCCGGGGTAGGTGGGTTGGGGGGGGGGAAGGTGATCGTAGGCATGGTCGAAGAAGAAGATTCGCCAGACATTACCTGAAGATTGAGAAGAATGAGACAAGGCAGAGGGATTGAGGGAGAGAGTTCCAGATACACATGCCATACACTGAATGTTATATGCACAAGTGGAAATAGGGGCTGACTGAGCAAAGGCTGAACTGTGCACTGGTTAAAAGGTTACTTTTGCATGAGGGGAAAAGGATGGTACAGCACATTGGAGTAGCACCAATACGTAATAAGATGCAGATTTCTTCCACCATTCCCAAATTATGAGTTGTCACAGGCAAGTGCTTTCCTACTTGTAAAGGGGAGAAAACTGTCGAAATCACCTGGGCCACTGCTGTGCACCTCGCAGCCAAACACCCAAGTATTGGAGGAATAATGCCATCAAGAAGAGAGCAAAGGAAAGGTAGACCTCTACATCGTTTTAAAAGTTCTATAAATGTAAATAAATGAATAGTTTATTGATAGAATGCAAAGTGGAGCTCATTTTGGGATCACTTCTGGTTGGAAAATTCTTCCACTTTTCTGTGTTTCCTTCAAACCCAGCAACCTGGAAACAACACTGTTAAATAATGATATAGCACCACATCAACTGCATGACCCGATTAAAAGATGCAAGAATTTGACCACCAGTGAAATTCATCCGCAACCTAACCTCTGCTGAGCCAACACAATCAGAAGGTTTCTATTTGGAGTGAATGTTTCATCTGCAAGAGTATTATAAAGCACACATTAACTTTTCCCATTGGAAACTATCACTTTCCAAGAGTTAAAACGTCTCCACCAGTTTCTTTCCTTGGAACAGACACCATAACTGTCGTCATTTCGCTCACAAAATATACAGTCAATTCACTTTACAGTATATTCTGTGAAGCATTTTAAGACGTCTCGAAGACATGATAAGGCCCGACATCAAATGCATGGTTTATTATTATTATTACTACTACTAAAAAGCAGGCACATCTTACCAAGTCTATTTCAGACCCAAAGACATGGTTGCGCACTCCATCTTGTGAAGCCAGAACGGAACCTTGGGAGTCTTGTTTGACCCTCAACCATCTTTTCTACTCCACATCTGCGCCATGACCTGCTCTGCCTTCCCTCACTTCCACATTGTCGCCCGGCTCCGCCACTGTCTCACATCGCAGGGCGCCAAAGCCCTCACACACATTTTCATTATATCGAGCCTCGACTATGCAAATTCATTGCTTGCCGGCCTCCCCAACACCTCCGTCCATAGGATACAAATCATCCTGAACTCTGCAGCCCATGTCCACTTCCGCACTAGGCTCCGCGAGCCTATCACCCCCATCCTTGCCCAACAAAACTGGCTTCCCATCACACAGACGATACAGTTCAAGAAACTGGTCCTCACCTTCAAAGCCCTCCATGGTCTTGCTCCCCCCTAACTCTGCAACCTCCTAACTCCCTACCATCCTGCCTATTCTCTCCGCTCAGCTTCACATCCCCCACCTTGCTCGCCCCACTATTGGCGGGCGGACCTTCCGCCACTCTGCCCCCCACCCCCTGAAACTCCATCCCGCAGTCTCTCCACCTCGTCCTCTCCCTTGCCACCTTCAAGATCCATCTCTAAACCCTCCTTTTTATCCATGCTTTCGATCTCCCTGCTACCCCACCTGCCTTCCACCTTGCCCAACCCTGACACCCAGCTCGGGTCCGTAACTCTGTCTGTCCAGCGCCTTGGGACGTCCTCCCGATGTGAAAGGCGCTATACAAATGTAACTTTGTTGTTGAAGAGCAGAAAACACAAACTACACACAATAGATCACTGTGGTGTTGTCGTCTTTACAAACATACACACTACAAAATCAGCCTCTTTCAATAAGAGAGCACTTTTTGCCTTCCTATGGAAAAATTCTGCACCTTTCTGACATCAAAGGTGAGTATTGGAAGTCATTCTATGATAAATTAAGTAGTTAATAAATTTGCTAATTCAAACAGAAACACTGGAAATACGTAACAGGTCAAATAGCACCTGAAAGTGGACACACATAGCCCTTCACCAGAACTGAAACGGTACTAATTTACAATGCTCCCTGGTCAAAAATGTTGGTGATCACATCAGTTTAATATGTTTATTTTTGCTGCTATTGGAGTTTACTGGGAGACCTAATACAAAATTAACAGTTGTGAAACAATTCTATCGACTTCAAATACAAGAATGCAAACTGAACCATGCTGTAACATTTTGTGACTACCTTCTGCTTGTTAGTTTCAGTGTGGCCCATACAATTGCTTTCTTGGAAGTCAATCTGTGGTGAAAAACAGAGCCAAGCAATTTGAAGAAAAGTTATGCCTTAAGCAACTAACTTAGCACATGGTTTGACGATTGTTACGATGGACAGGTCTGGATAAGATGTGGTGTGTGATTGCAGAAAGAGTGCAGTGCATTCCACCACTGATGGAAACCGGTGCAGTTTGAATAATTCTTAAACTCTTTTATTGACCTTTAACCTTCACTTCCTGGCAGACTTGAGCTGTCTTCTCTTTATTCAGTTTTAAAAGGAAATGAGCAATCGGGGGTTTATTTACTCCATCACCAGCATCCCAGGCAATTCTCAAGGTTTTCATTCAATAAGCCCACAGGTTATGGTAGCAAAGGTCCCCTTTACTACTTCAGAAAAGGAAATGCAATTATTTCCACTGAAACGTACATGTTTATGCTAAACATAAGGAAATGGGGCCATGCAGTAACATTCGGATGTCTGTACACACTTATGTGTCATATTTTGACTGAGTCTGAACGATTTCCACATCCTCCTCCACAAATATATTTTTGTACGGATAGGATTTCTGTAAACGCTGACTGTGTTTAAGTTGTAAGTTATCTGCCAATACATCAAATGACTGTCATAAAAAGTAACCGCTTTGGTCATAAATGTACTGAAATGGTCTTGTGTTTAACTGTGAGTTGTATAAATCTGGGTGCAGAGAAACAATGGGACTTTTATGTCACAATCTCTTTGGCACAGCCAGCACAGTAAATGCAATAGGTGTCAATGATTGATGATCATCTCTCTTTCTCTGCCAATGATAATAAGTTAATCTGAAACAAAGTTCCTCCTTTGCCTCATCTGAAGGACAATGTAAATATGGAAAGCTTCCTAATTATAGCCATTCCCATTCAAAAAATACAGTGTTATAAACTAGATACAAGATTCGAATAGAGAAGAGATTTTCTCCCAGTATGACTGTGCCAACAATCTCCTATAAATTGGGCATTCACTTCATGGCTGTTTGTGAAACATTGCTGAGTGAAAATAGTCATTAACTGTACAGTAAAAATCTGTGGAGTACCTTCAAATTTCAACAACGGTATGAAAGGCACCATATCAAATGCAATTAATTATTGTTGTCACCCACGGTTTGATTCTGGGGAACGGATTTTCCACCAGTCTTAATCTGTAGGATAAGTTTTGTTTTAATATTTTAAGGTCTCGCAGAATTGTGATAAATTCTTAAATTCAGTTTCAATTTGGAGGCCGCTTTTCCAGTTTTTTTTACATAAAGTCTTCCAAAATAACAGAGTTTAAGAATTTTCCACAATTCTGTACAAAATTATCTTACAGGGTAACACTGGGTGGAATTACTAAGGAAGACTAGGGTCTTATGAAGCTGACTGGGCTCAGATAAGACAACAATTGGAGCACTACAATTGTTTCACATTGCCCAAGGTTTAGAGAGGAAAATGTCAGAAAGCTTCCCATTGTTGCTCTACATTCACATCTCGCCCCCTACTGGAAAAAGCATCCATGAAGATGGAATCAGACTCAATTTTGAAACATGACTCTTCAGTCAAATAGCTTGCCAATACTCACAGATATCCAATGCTGCATAGGCTTGCACACTAAACTCTGTACCCCCCTCATATCAGTCCTTACCAGACTGCACTGGCTCTCGATCACAGAACAAATCGACTTCAAGGTCCTCACAATTGTCTACAAATCCCTTCACTCCCTGGTACCTCACGACCTGCTTTCCCTCACTACCTGCCACCTCCACTTCCCTGGTTCCAGCCTCCCATCTGTGTCTCGTCCCCACCACTCTATCATCGGTGGCCGTGTTTTCAGCCACTGTGCCCTGAAAGTTTGGAACTCTCCCCCTCAGATCACACCTGAAGCCCTTCCTCTTCAACCGTACTTATGGTCACCTACTCCCTTCCCCCAAGCTCAGCAGAAGGCTCTGCCTCTGTTCAGCGCTCCAAGTCGCTACTCTGCATGAAGGGCACTGTATAAATGCAAGTTATTGTTGTTGCTGAGGGAAATGAGCAGCTGGATTAGTAGGGTTGCAGGAAATCACAAAGATAGGGTGAGGCAAGGTTGCGAAAGATTTGTATTGTGAAGGTAGAGGTCCCGATGATGAGATAAATAAGGATTTTTCAGCAATAAGCATCAGATTTCATATCTAAGTCATGATAGATTTCTTCACACAAAGCTAAAGACTTTTCATTCAAGAACTAACCTTCTATTACTTAACTGTTTTCTAAATACACTTCATGAGGCTGCTTATTGGATTGAGTGAGTGACATAGCTATGCTCCTCTCCATGTCACCATTGACAGGTTTGCATCCACTCTCTGGAACTTGATCCTGAAGTCCCTCCAACTCTCCCCATCTGCAAAGCCCACTTCACGGCTTACCTCTTTAACCACTCTATCAGTCATCTTTCCCCTCCGCATTCGCTTCAGGTCACATTTTCCTAGGCTCTGGTGCCCTGCTAGCAGTGTGAAGCACTTTGAGATGTCCTACCAATGTGAAAGGCGTAATATGAATATAATTGTTTAGTATCGTTATTTGTACCGCTCTAGACATTGTGCTATGAAATAGAGATCTATCCAAATAGACAGTAACATTTATGCTATCGTACCTTGGGTAAAGAAGTATCCTGGACGAATCTCAATTAAAATTTATGTTTGTAGTGCCTATTGTTTGCAAATGACTCAGAAATGAATCAACTGCTCCTACATTATCGGAGCAAATATATCAACATGCTTTCCACATAAAACGTAGCTTTGCTGTAGTGCCACACCACACTGATTGTTCTCAGCGAGAGACTACTGCACTCAGTTGGGTATGAATATAAAATCTAGCAACTGTCCATAGTAAGCATTTTCTCTCTGCTACAATTGCTTCATCTTTTACAACTAAATACAGGTTGTTTCCATTTGTCACCTAAAGCGAATGTAAAAGTCACCCAAAGCTAACATTTGTAGCTGAATGCATTTCAATCTTAAAATTTAGTAATGTCCTTCAAATGTTAATGTGAAAGGGTTGTGCAAAAAACATACAATCCATTTGCAACTCTCTCAAACAGAAAAGTATACCTGAACCAAATACACTGATTCAAAAAATGTTCACATTTTCATTAAGGTACAATGTATGTGGTTCACCTTATGATTTTCTTCCCCTTTTAGGTGGGCTAAAAGAGAATACACCTAATTAAATAAACCAAATTTGAGGCAGTACAGTAAAAAAAACTTCATCAATGTTGCGATTTGACAGTTCTATACTTTCACATCCTACTAACCAGTGCCATCACTTCCTGTATTTAACAGTTCAGTGGTTTCCAAACACATTACGAGAATGCCGCTTTGAGACTTCGTCACCTGCTCTTATTCTAGGCGTCTTTCCAATACACATTAGGCAGCAGCTGAAATATCATTGGAAAGTTTTAAATAAAATAATACTGGAATTAGCATTAGGATTATTTACTGAGCAGCCTGGTTCTTTAGATTAATGTTAAACATTTGCATTTTTTTCTGATATTATTGCATTTATGTGCTATTGGCAAGTATCAGTTCTAATTTTGTTCCTGATCCGAATATTTGTTGCAATCGAACAACATCCAATTTTTCAGGATTTTGCCCACTAAATAGCCTAAACTTTTCGCTCACAAAATACAGTCAATCCACTCTACAGTATATCCTGCAAAGTGCTTTACAGAGACACCTCGATGACAAGATAAATTGGTGTATCAAATGCAAGGATTATTATATTATTATAATAAATATCAAAGGTGCAATACATACAATATAAATTGACTTCATGGTGGGAATACGTCAAAAATTTTAATTTGTGCAGTTAGGGTTTTCAATTCAAAGTTTGCTGGACCAATGTTTGGTCATGAATTTTATATAAAAAAACTCCTCCACATCCATTTAAGTTAATTCCAAAAGTAAGTCACTGTACATCACACCTTAAATTGTGTTGACATCCCTGATTGAACTTTTAAATTTGATTTTAAATTAAATTGAAGCACCGATAAAATGTAGCTAGCTTCCAGCTAAATATTTGTTTAATTCATACTGTAGTCCCAAATCTAAAATATCCTGAAGAACCTAAAACATTTATTTGAAATACTCCTTCTGAAAATGCTCTTTCTATCACATGCTATGAATATCACAATGTTGGGATTCTAAGCACAAGGCAAAAGTAGGCTGTACGATTGATCATATTTTCCTACTATACATCAATATGTAGACAGATTAACAAATATTTATCCTGTATTGTATCGTGAATTATTAAATACATTGATTGAGAGCAAGGAATCAAACTGACAAAATCGAACTGATATCCCTCACATTCTCATTATCTACAAAATCTGTGAACATTCATCATCAACATTTAAAACAAGATGAACTGCATGTAAACAGACAAATAAGATTGTATCTTTATAAAAGAGTGAAAACTTAATTGTATTATGCAATGCAATATTATATAATGTGAACACTGACACTGAAGCAGACGTCTAACCAGCCTCTACACCCACTAGATACATCAAAAGCACACAAGGTCTGTTACCTAACTTGAATAAATCACAACTAAAATTCTGTGTTATGCATTGCAAAATTATCCATCAATATTGTGCATCCGTAAGTAGATCAGTGATGCCGGAAAAAGCTTGCTATTCCTGTGTACCATAACAGACTGTGATTGGAAATGTTCTTGCACTGAACACTATCAGACAAACATATTCTCATTTACTGGTAATGATAATTCAGAAGCAATGCCTTTTACACAAGGGACAAAATAAGTGCCTGGTGACATTAGGTGAGGTAAATTTACAGTTTATTCAAACTGTAAATATCCAGGCCAAAGAATCTACTTAAATAGATTCTTTAAGTAGATTCAAGGTTAAGCATCACAGTTCCAGAGAAGAGAAAGCAGATCTTTTTTTAAAAAAATCTAACAATGTGCACAACTATTGCCCCATTGTAGATACTTAATTACATTTATTTTCCCTACATTGACACCCACATGTAGAGTAAGTTAAGAGTAGGCCACGGAGTCAAGGTTCAAACAATGATAATTGACTAACAATTAGCAGATAAAATATTAGAGTTAAGGAGAAGCTAAATAATTTGATCAAGAATAAAACTAAAAACAAGGCATGGTTGAAATGCATTGATTTGCATAGATTGTACAGTAATACGCAACTGCTGATAACAAGGTCAGGGATGTGAAGAGCAATTTTAAGCTTCTCAAATTGAATCAATAATTGAATCTACTCCTCACAAAGGCAGGCCTTCACATAGGCATATTCAATGCTCTGGTGAGGCACTTTGTGATGTCCTCCCATCGTGAAAGGTGTTATGCCAAATGTAAGAATTATATAGTGCCTATCACACAGTTATTTCCCATGCATTACTGTTGACTACAATCTCCTATTAGACTTATTTTGGTCACCGAGTTGTCGGACACATGTGGAAACACACTACTATGCTGAAGAGTAACCAAACCAGACAGAGTTCCACGTATGATTACCACCTAGACGTAGATTTCACTGTGTCTGGAATGGAATAATTCTGGAGAGTGTTAGGCACAGGTTGGCCAGAGCCAAAGGTTAGGGTCCCTGGCGTTTACATTGTGGTAGCTAAAACTACACACCTTACCAGTGACAGCACTGTCTGGCAAGCTACCCACTACCTGTTCAGCTTCGACCACCCTACCCATTAGGCCTTAGCTTGCAGGGGTAACAGGATCTGGGTAGGAAGAATCTCTGATCCCAGTGACCTGTTTGCCCCTCCAAAACCTACCGATGAGCCTATCATTCTGGGACTCTCTGCAAGTTGTTGAGACAGTTTAACTGTTCAGACATCGAATCCTGGATGAGAGCCAACTTTTTACAGCTGAATGTCAGCAAGACCGAGGCCCTCCTGATTGGCTTACGTCAGCGCCCCCGCACCTAAGGCATTGGCAGCATCAGCATCCATGGATGCACACTCCACCTCACCAAGCCAGTCAGGAACCTGGTCATCTTGTGCGACCCTCAACTATCCTTTCTCCCTGAGGAATCCTGTAGCTCAATGGTTAGAGCAATCGCCTCACAAGCGAGGGACCCGGGTTCAATTACCGGCAGGGCAAAACCTTGGGCAAGTTTCCTTACGCCATAATAATCCCTCAAGAAAAAAAATAATAAATTTGGTGACTTCAATCCAGGACTGTTTGTGGGACACTGCTGTGCACAATTGGCTGCCAGGTTTCGCCCACAAATATACAGTCAATTCACTTTGACCGTGCCTTCAGCTCCCCTCTCGACTCTCTACCCCCTCCTCGCTCTCTCCCTTCCCTCAACCTGACCTTTTCCCCCCACCTCAGGTCCACTGGCTCCCCGTCCCTCAGAGAATAGAATTCAAAATCCTCGTCCTCACTTTCAAGGCCATCCACAGCCTTGCCCCCTCCTACCTCTCTGACCTGCTAACCCCCTATCAATCTGTCCGCTTCCTCCGTTCAGCAGGCTCCAGCCTGCTCCATGTCTCCCGCCCGACCTGCCATGCCATCGGCGGCTGGGTTTTCAGCTTCTCTCCCCCCACCCTATGGAACTCCATCACACAACCCCTTTGCCTTGCTCCCTCTCTTGCCTCCTTCAAGGCACAACTCAAAAATCTCCTTTTCGACTGTAGCTTCAGCTTCCGTCCTACCCACTCTGCCCTCCCTCACCTCAACCCTGTCCCCCCCACACACTCGGGTCCTGATCCCTGACTGTTCAGTATGTTGGGACGTCCACCCGACGTGAAAAGCGCTTTACAAATGTAATTTTGTTGTTGTTGATCTGTCATCACCATCGCCCTGGAGTACTGTAAACCCATCTGGCTCAACAGCCAGACCCCTAAAACAACCATAACAAATTGACTCATCAAGAAACAAAGTATGCAACTCAAGGCTAACAACACAGAGGGGGAAAGAGTAGAGAAAGAACAGCTTTTATCTGTGGCAGTGGCAAGCACAGATTATATACCACACTGATTTCTAAGTCACTTGGACACTGAGAGGCGAATCCAATCTTATTCAAAAGAAATTTTGCCTGGCAATTCTTTAACTTATGAGAGGACGAGGCCAGACTTGCCTTTACAGAAAGGGTCACACACATCTTTGAAAGGACCAATCCAACTCCCCAGGACAATTCCTATATGCACACACACACACCCCTTACCAATATTGGTGAAATGTCTTCTAGGAGTTGCAGAGTATGTGTGTATATATTTATAAATGTTACTATGTTACTAATAATCTAGTAATACAGCATGGTTCCTCAAAATAAACAAGTCTGTAGGCTCCCATTCATGCCTTGAAAGGAATTATTGTTATTATTGGGGACTTTATTGTGTATGTATTCTTTAACAGCAAACCTTCACTGTCACTACAAAACAATTCTTGATACCACACAACTTT